GTAGGAAAAGACTCTTTTATTTTGCCTTTAAAGAAAGAAGATATAATTTCTTTCACTAGCACCAACTGAGGTGTCTTACTCAGTTCTACAGATTTTATTCTGAATTAATATCAAAAGATTGCTCCATCCCCAAATGACCCAGCAATCCCTTTTCTGGGTCTATACCCAAAAGAAATGAAATTATCACTTCATAAAGATATCTGCACTTTCATGCTTATTGCAACATTATTCCCAATAGTCAACATATGAAAACAATGTAGTTGTTCATCAGTGGACAAACAGAATAAGAAACTGTGGTATACACATATAATGGAATACTATTCAACCTTTAAAAAGGAGATCCTGCCATTTGCCACAACATGGATTGGCCTGGGGGACAGTGTTCTAAGTGAAATAAGCCAGGCACATAAATAAAAATATTGTGTGATCTTATTTATATGTGGAATCTTAAAAAAGGTAAAATATGTAAAGAATAAAAGACAGATTATAAGGGTCAGGGCATGGGAGAGAAAATGGGGAGATGTAGGTCAAAGGATACAAAATAGCAAAAATACAAGATAAACGAGTTAAAAGATCTAATACACAACATGAGGACTAGAGTTAATAATAGTGTATTTTATTTAGGATTTTTGCTAAATGAGTAGATTATAACTCTCTTTGCCATGAGGAGGAGCCTGGCGCGGTTGAGGGAGAATGAATTAGTAAGATGATGGGTAAGTTAATTTGTTTTACTATAGTAACCATTTATTATGTGTGTGTGTGTATCTCTTATAACATCATGTTATAATATGGGATATACAAAATAAATTTTTTAAAAGAATGTTCAAATCATAAGCATAAGTATGTGTATAGTATCATAAAGTGTTAGCTCAAAATATAAAGTTATTGGCCCATGCTTTAATTTTAATAGGAAGCTTTTATAACACCAACATATTTTAGAAGACATACAAGAATAATATCGGTCAAGCTATAGGAGGAGGTTTCGTTGGGAGATAGACTTGAAGATAATTATCTCTGAATGAAAGGTTGATAGACTCAAGAGCAAAAATCTTGGGAAAGTATTAGTCATGTGGGCAAACTTTATCATGTTTCCCTAAGCAGAATTTAGAACAGGATCACACAGCAAGAAATATCAGAACAGGAAATAAAAAACTTTTAAAGTATCTCCTGCAACTCTATTCTCACTCAATTGTTTTCTTAATATGAATTCTATAAATACATGTAGAAACGTGTAAAATAATCATTTGTAAAGGACATATTTTTGACAATACATGTAAATTAAGAGATATGGAGGGAAATGTTTTGGCTAAATGGTGTAATGGTTTGACAAAAATGTAAACATACTTAATGCAACTGAATTGTCCACTTAAAATGGTAAAAATGGTCAATTTTATATAACGTGTATTTTACCTTGATAGGAAAACAATTTTATAGATTAACAAGAGGATATTGAGGTAAAATAAAATTAATACATTCTCAAGTAGAGCTTAGATCATTTAGAATACAGCATACCATTACCATATGATGTGAAATATGGCAATACCTAGTTACTGAACTCAGACTAGTTATTTAGAATCATTTAGGGAAAATTTAAATGCATTAACAGAAGAGTTCATCATTTATACTAACATTTGTTTTCTTAAATGCAGCAACTCTATTATCAAAACTATTGAGATGTTCAGCATCCTAATTTCAATCACTGAATTAAATATTATAATATTTTTGCTCTTGTTTAATGTTTTATAGATTATAGAGATTTATAAATATTTTATAAACATTAAGTGAAATAATTTGTATAATTAAATAATACAATATGTTAATATAAAAACATTTTAATGCTTTATAAATGTTAAGTATAATAAAGATAATTGTTTAATGTTTTATAGTTGTAACTACATGTTGGGTGCTTTAAATGTCATTTACTAATCATCTAAAGCATATAAATGAATGCATTTGGATTTTAACTCAGAGTAAACTATTTCATAGTTAAGACAAAAAGTTGTCGAATGCAATGATTTTTAAAGAACTATTATTTATTGGTTTATTTCATGGAACAAATGAGTTTATACTGTGTAGAATGTATCAATTTATATTGTTTAGAAATAAACTTGCCATATCCATTTAAAGAGAGATGCTGGGAATGTTTGTCAAACAGCAGTATCAATACAGAAATCTTTTTATTTTCTCATTTCAGATGAAACACAAAATGATCTCTTTATCTCTTCATAAATATTTAGGCACCAGAGGTTTTGATGAAACTTTTCAGAGTTGTTTTAAGCTGTTTTCTACACTCAAATATGGAAAATTTCAGATAATATTAGTTTTTCATGCATTTTATTTAATAACAGCAAAGAAATCATAAAGGGAAGCTATATGGCTGGAACAAATGGAGCCTATTTCTGAGAAATTGCAATTATCCTTGATTTTTGATTTACTCTTATCTACCACAAGGTGATAAATTTGACAAAAAGTCTTCTTAATGGTTTCTGTGCATGAAGAGCTAGTTTTCATTCTCTTAATGAAGTGCTTCATCATCCACTCTTTTCCTGCCTAGTGGTCTGAGGCATTGTTAATATCAAGACTTCTGTCTCCAGTGAAAATCAATGCTTCAAAAGTCTATTACATAGCTTACGACAGAATTGTTTCACTCTTAGTTCTAAATAATAAACATTATATAAAACATAAGTACAAAATTATAAAAGTTACATTACATATTCACGTACTGTATGGTAAAACAAACTTTTTAAAGATACTAGAATATACTGAAAGTCGATATTGGCCAAGTGCAATCTAGGGAAGAGTACGTTTTTTGGCTCATAAAGTTGTTTGGTATTCATTTGACCATAACAATTATATTCTTAACCCATTCTTTACGTTTACATTTATCTTTGTTTGATTTTTGTCTTGCTTTTTAAAGGTTAGATATGGTTTCATCTACAGTTATCTTACCAATATTAAATGCTTAATGTTAAGTCCTTAATTCTCTCTAAGAAAATACTCACTCTTATTCTGAGTATATAAACTCACCTACTTTATATAGAGTTTATCATTGTAATCCAATGAGTGATCTTTAATATTCTCTTTCTTCACCAATCTCTATACACATACTTTTCTCATTTTTTTATTCCTCTTGCCTTTCAGGAATATTCTTCATAGGCTGAAGGGATCTAAAAGAACTGCATTGTCCATACTTTCATTTCCGGTCAGATTACCCATTATAGCATACCTCAAAAAGATATATAACTATACAAGAAAAAAAAATAACCCAAAGTGGCCCCATCTGAAGAAATGAAATATTTTAGATAATTTTCCTTCATTATTTTCATATATTCTGCCTATTGTCCAGGCCTTCTTAATTCCTCTGGAACACTGTAGCATCATAAACTTCATTGGACAACTTCCCCAATCTTTTTTTTTCAATTTACCCCCCTTTTCTACAAAATAAATATAAGATTTTTTTTTTCACAGCTAAAAAATAACCACAAAAGCTCCTTTTAGATGGTATTGCTAAACATTTTCTTATCTTTGCTGCCATATTTCTTGAAAAATCGCTTGCATGGTAGGGTGTAATTTTCTCATCATGCACTCACTTTTAACATTTGACAGACTGGCTTTTATTCTCCAAAAGTCTATGCAAATCAGAGAAGCTTCTTTGTCCTAAGCCATTCTGGATTCTCTTCAGTACTGATACTCCCTTCTTACTGGATCTCTTGAAGGACTGATGCTGTCCTTACTACACTCTACCCGTTTTTCAGGTTTACATAAGGGAGTGACTCCCTATTTTAGTTCTTTAATTTTTTTATGATTTCTGCCCCCTATTGGCTTAATGAGGAGGATAAGAAATTAAGAGAGAATGGCAGGTTCAGTTGACAAAAAGTGTTGCAGATTTTGCACTTCAACTTTTGTTAAGAAACATCAATAGACCTTATGTTTCCAGGCAACATTAATACATAATAATTGTTAATTAACTTATATCTAATTAGCATACCAGATTTTTACACATACCTCTCAGGAAGTATCAATTATAAAATGTTTAACTTATTTGAATGTATAGTGTCTGAAATATATACTTTTCAAATGCATGTTGGTATTTAAAAATTAATTTACAACTTTAAAATGTAACTTATTAGTTCAGTATGAGAACAATTTTCCATTATTTTAAATTCACATGATACATCATATTAAATTCAGTTTGCAATATGTTCTAATGTAGTATATAATCATTGACAAAATAACCATTGTTGTGGGATTTCTGCTTCAACTGTGACATGGGAGGCCTACTTTGATCACTGGTCAAGTGGTCGAGTCTTCTTAGCAAAGTATTCGATGTTCAGATATTGATTGTTTAGAAACAGAGCTTCCTCATTTATTTAAAAGGAAAGACAAAATATTCCACGTGCATAGCCTCCTGCCCTTCGTATGCTACTCATATTATATTTGAATTTGAAAACTGCTATTTTTAATTAACAGTGGGACTGGATTTGAAGACATAGGCAAACAGAATCAATGATTTTGGTATTGCAAGATTGTCAAGTCTCCCCCTTCTCCCACTATAAGCATAAGTCTCTATTAATCTAAACCAAGCATTCATAACCCTTATATGTACAGCAGTAGAAGCTCCAGGATGTTCCCATGTGTTGTAAAAGCCCAAAACTAAATATAACCGAACCCATCCAATAAATATGAAATGAAAAGCTATTATAGCTGGAAGAATTTTTTTTAAGTAGACTTTTGAAAATTTTAAATAAGACCAACAATGACTGCCGACGTAACAAATTGGAACTTTATAAAGATACATTAAAAGTTTTATTTTACACAAAGTTCACTTAAATGGAAATCGTTCTTCAGCAGCAAGGTAAGATCCCATCTTCTTTGCTTAATGCACATTGCACTGAAGCTTTATGGCTGTATTAGAATATGCAACTCCCCATGCCAAGATTTAATTAAAGTTTAAATATTTGAAGGGCTGGTGATAATGTTGCCTCTAATAAAAAATTTACCTGTCTTGGGATCAATAGAGAAATAAGGTTGTCCCTGAAGAATGCTGTAAACGACTCTGGCACTGTTTCCATAGGTCGGGTCATCTGCATCTGTGGCCTTGACCTGGAGTACATATGCACCTGGAAAATAAGACAATATCACTCCACCATTTTTGTTTTACCTCTTTCAAGGTCATGTCTCTTATCTGCTGAACTCAATTTTCCTTTGGTATTTGACCTATGTCAAGTATGCCATGAGTACATGATGTCACTGAGGATAGTTTAACCATTATAACCAAAATGTTGAGCAATGATATAGTTGTTAGTACAAATCACAACTTTAAATATATATTTTAAAAGCTGTGTCCATTTCTAGGAGATGAACCATTGAAATGAAAGTCATCATGATACCTTTATTGATTGGTCCACCAAAGAAAGCATGGACACCACTTATATTAGCTCATCTGCTTACTATTGATGTTTTAATTTTATGATTAAGATATCAATAGAGAGACTAAAAGGTTTAGAGTGTACTGAACATTAGAAGTTGTTAAGTAATTTGCAATTGCAATTTAAAAATTAACAACTACCTACTAGCATCAGGAAGCCTTTAATTAGAAAAGGAATATTTGATAAATTGAGAAACTATAAAGAATAGCAAAATAGCTATAAGAGCACTTCTTTGCCTCAAGATTGAATGAACCTAAAGATTCAGTGACATAGGAAGACACCACAAACAACCAAATGATCTGCAGCTTTCCTAATTTTTTTTTTTTTTGGCATGGGTATGTTTTTTCTGTACTAAAAGAAGTTGAAGAGAGCTTTTCTCTGTATTTTCATTATCTGTTCATGAGCATATTGAAATCAGTCTAAAAATGTGTAAAGTGAGTATCTCTTCCTAACGTCCTATTCAATGTTACTATTCTGAGTTCAGAACAAAGTGAAATCAAAAGTACCCAAATTGGAGCAAATAAAATAGACATATATGTGTGTATATATATACATATATTTCTATATATCTATATACATACAGACACATACACATGTGTACATCCAAATTTATACAGTGAGTAGAACTCCCTTAATCTGTTGGAGGCACTCAAAGTAACTGTTCTGTTTGGGGAAAATAGGATTGTTCCTTTTCATTCAATTACTCTTTCAGCCTTTTCTCTAAGAGTACAAATTTAGAACAAACTATGTCTTCCTAGATTACTATAGAAGCTAAAAGAATGAATTACTTTTTCATTTCTACCATTTTCTTTTAATAAATGTTAGGCTTGTGACAAGAGTAAGAAACGATAACTCTTTGTAGACATTCAATGCCAAGGTCTTTCAGTTTAAAATGGTTGAGTGAATCTTGGCTTTATTAACAGAGGAAAAATATATTACAGCGGCCTTTCCCAAGAAAAGAAACTTTTAAAGGGAACTTTTAGAGGGAATGTAGATAAACATTACTAGGAAGTCAGGAGTGAAGACTAATATTATCCATCATCATCACCATCATCATCATCAGCATCATCACTATCATTAATCACAATTTGACCAGCGTTTATTTCTATGAAGCATTGGGTACCTGGATTAAAGATTCATTAAAACTACCTTTCTATAATGCTATAGAAATCGACAGTTTATTAAGAGTAAAGTCCTCTCTTCCCAACAGTATTTTCCTCCAGAATATTCATCAGGATGTTTACTATCCCTCCATTATACATGTGTTATAGGCAAAATATTTGTAGGCAAAGTCTACAAATATTCACTGCTGCCCTAATTCTGGATATAAATATTACAGTTGAAAAACTATACATTGTTCTACATGTTGGATATAGTTGAAGAAAAGGAACGTATTATACTTAGTTACAAATAGGAAATTAAAATACTTGAGAAATAAGAAATATTTAGCGACAGCATTAATAAAATTTGCCAAACTAACACCACATTGCAATGTACAGTGGGGAAAGCAAAGATGAACATGTATTGTCTTCACTTTTACATTTTTGTTTTTAATGTTTACATGAACCTCCACTATGCTGAACAAATATTTTCTTCTATTAGTTGTATTAAATTGTTTATGTCAGTTATTTTTAAAGCTCAAATATTTAAAGGAGTGAATTGGGAAATCATTAATGCATCAAAGTTGCAAATATTTTTTCATACAGCCCCAATTTGTGCTACTTAAAAGGATCACTAGATAGCAAGAATAACTGTATTCCTATTATATTTCTTCAGTTGTATCTATAGAATTAAAAATAATTGTCCACTGAATTACAATATAGGTTAATCCTTCTTTAGTGAAAGAGCAGATTCCAACGTAAATTCTCCAAAAGTTCTTAAAGATGGCCTTTTTGGGTGTTTACAAGAATGCAGTTAAACACCAGTATACCAGATTGTTTTGTCAGCTGCTTCATGACTGTCACAAAACTCATGCAAAAGACAGACATTTTGTACTCTTTCCATTAAGAAGTCTCGGTCAGTTGCCTGGAGCATGAAAATCTCCGAGGACTACCTTTTTCAGTGCTTGGATAGCACACCAGCTGTTCCTGACACTATTAAACACTAAATACCCAGGAGGTAAGAGCAGGAGGTTGTGGTTGGGGCATGTTTATTGTGCCACAAGGAAGTAATACAGTCAACGATTTGCAAACAATCTGAAGTAGTCTTGTATGTAGCAGTGAGCTTGAAATTTATTCTCTTATCACTCGAATCCAGGGAATGACAATATAACCACTCTAAATGGTTATATCTGCAGAGAGAATGCGGCTCTTAGAGAAAACACTCTTGTATAAGTGGTGAGAACCAGAGTGCAGAATTTGCAATGGAGAGTTTCAAGTCACTTCAAGTTCCCATATAACACTGCTTTGATCAGTAACAAATTAGTGTATTTTTAGTAACAGTTAAAGCCAGCACTAAAAGTTATTTTATAGTAATAACTAAATTCTATATCTTATACTGTCACTCAAAGGGAATAAATATTTATAAAACTATGATAAAGCAAAGAAAAGATAAACTGATCACTGAGTATGACAAAACTATGATGAAGAGGCATCAGGAGATGCCCACATGATATAAACTCCAACTAAACAAGTGATCACTAACATGTAAATGACTATGAGTTAGAGTTCATATGAGATCTGATTTGGATATTGTATTGCTCAGCTCAGGCTACAGTAACAAAATACCACAGACTGGGTGTCTTAAACAATAGAAATCTACGTTCTTACAGTTTTGGACACAAGCAGTTTGAGATCAAAGAGCAAAAAAATTGGGTTTCTGATGAGAGCTCCTGGTTTCTCACTGTGTTCTCACATTCCCTTTCCTCTGTGCTCAGACAGGGAGACAGAGAGAGAGAGAGAGAGAGAGAGAGAGAGAGAGAAAGGGAAGGAAAGAGAGAGACAGAGAGAGACAGAGACGGAGAGAGACAGAGACAGAGAGAGACAGAGAGAGAGAGAGAGGAGCTCCTCTCTGGTGTATCCCCCTTTTTTCATAAGGCCACAAGTTCTATTGGATTAGGACCCATCTTTAGGACTTTATTTAACCTTAATTACCTCCTGAAAGGGTCTATCTCCAAATACAGTCACATTCATGGCTTCTACATATGAATTTCAGGAGGATTCAGGTCAGTTCATAACATATCATTTTAGTTTACAGATATGTACATGTTAAACTACATGTGGAAATTAACAACTTATTAAAGCATAATTTATTTCTATGTTGCAAAATTATAGTCATAACTTAAGGTAATATCAGTATTTTGCAAACAAACATTCATATCATAATAAAATTCTGATAAATAGACTTATTAAACAGGTATACATTACCTAGATGAATTAATTTAAATTTAAGTCAATATTTTTTGTACAATTTATGTTGAAAACACTAATAGAAAGCATGGTGTTTCACTTTTTAGATTCAATTTTGAGAATTCATACATATAATATCTTATATGGTCAGACAATACATTTGAGAACTCACACATGTAATATCTTATATGGTCAGACAATACATTTACACAGACACAAATGCACAAATGATTTAATAGTTTGTAATTACTCCACTCAAGTTAGTGAGTGTATGAAGTGCTCGGCACACTATCCAAGATGCTAGGGAACCACCATGAACAAAATTGAGAGGCCAGCTCCTGAAATCTTATATCCCATCTAGAAAGGAATGGGAGGAGAAACAGATTCAAGGTGAGAGACTTCCATATAGTAATCAGGAAAAGCAATTTTGTAAAATCTCATTTATATAGCGACCTGAATAGTGTTTTTGCACTTTCCTTTTCCCCCTAATTTATTTATTCTTTAATTGACAATATTGTATGTATTTCTCATGTAGAGCGTGTTTTGAAATATGCATACATTGTGGAATAACTAAACTGAGCTAATTAACTTATGCATTCCCTTACATATATGTCACTTTATGTAGTGAGAACACTTAAAATCTACTTTCCTAGCAATTTTCAAGAATACAATACATTACTATTAGCTGGAGTCACCATGTTGTATGTTAGACGTCCAGAATTTATTTCTCCCATCTAACTGAAATTTTGTATACTTTGGGCAACATCTCCCTAGTCTGCCCGCTCAGTTTCCCTTAACCACCTGTATTAGTCTGTTCTCATACTGCTGTGAAGAAATACCCGAGGCTGGGTCATTTATAAAGAAAAAAGATTTAATTGACTCATAGTTTAGTATGGCTGGGAAACCCTCAGGAAACTTACAATCAGGGTGGAAGGTGAAGGGGAAGAAAGGCACCTTCTTCACAGGGCAGCAGGAAGGAGAATTGCTGAGCAAAAAGGGAAAAGCCCCTTCAAATTTTATGAAAATGCACTCAGTATCACGAGAACAGCATGGGAGAAATCGCTCCCATGATCCTATTACCTCCACCTGGTTCTGCCTTCAATCCAATCAGTTCTCCATAAGGTTGTGTATGCTCTGAATCAGTGTCCAATATATGGTACTGTTTCTCTCATAACCGGGATTCACCAGTCCAGGATCAAAGGGTGGACACAGTACCACTCACCATCACCCCCTAGTGATCCACTAGCACAATTCTTGCTTCCTGTTTCTGTGACATTACATCCTGCTGGCCTAGTGGTCTTAGTTCCAGAGGGGGAAATGCTGACACTAGGAGACACAACGACG